CCTCATGTAATCCCACAGCCACAAAACTTTGTTGCTTAATATTCCTATCAAGTACCAGCCCTTGCAACTCATGTCATTCTACATAATATGCCTATACATGATTTGTCTTATCAAGGGCAACCTGCAATGCAAGGAATGACTGCTCAAGCTTCCCCATCATACTCTAATGCTACAACTTGGATTATGGACACAGGAGTTTCCCATCACATGACCTCTGATTTTGCTAGTCTAAATCAAGTTGCTCCATTTGAAGGTTTAGAGAAAATTAAGATTGGCAATGGTCAAGGTTTGCCAATTCAAAATATTGGTTCAACAGTTGTCAAAACACCATATAATTATATCATTTTGAAGAATATGTTACATGTCGCATCCATTGCTATCAATCTTCTGTGTGTAAAACAATTATGTAAAGACAATAGATGTTGGCTTATCTGTGATGACACATATTTCTTTGTGCAAGACAAGGTAACAAGGGAGATCTTATACAAAGGAAGGAGTAGGCTTCAAGATCTGTTTCAGATTCCTGTGTCATCGTGGAGAGCTCTGAGTGCATTTATTGGACAACTAGTAAGATCTTTTCTATGGCATCAATGGTTGGGACATCCTACAAATGAAGTATTGGCAGTTATGCTAGCTAAGCCTAATATTCCTAGATCAACAAATAATAAGCATACAATGTGCAGTGATTGTATTCATGGGAAAATTACTAGAAAACCTTTCTCCAATTATGCTTCTAGGTGTGTTTTACCTTTTGATAGGATACACTTTAATGTTTGGGGACCTTCTTCTATAAAATCCATAGAGGGATATAGGTTCTATGTTGTTGTTGATGATGATTGTACACGATACATGTGGATTTTCCCACTTTATAATAAATCAGAAGTGTTCTCATTATTTGTCAAGTTTTATAAATATGTTGAAGTACAATTTGGAGCTCATATTAAGTATTTACAATCAGATGGAGGTGGAGAGTTTCTAATTAATTTTTTCAAGGAATTTATATAGTCAAAGGGGATGATTCATAGGGTTTCATGTCCCTACACTCCTCAACAAAATGGTTTTGTTGAAAGGAGGCATAGGCATATAGTCGAAACAGCAATAACTTTGATGAATATTGCTGGTTTATCTCAAGAATTATGGTTTCATTCATGTGCACATGTTGTGTATTAGATCAATAGGATGGCTTGTAAAGCATTACAAATGAACTCATATTTCTTTTGTTTGTATGATAAACATCCATCACTTCAAGATTTGATAAACATAAGGAATGAAACAGTTCAATCAATTTCTGATGATACTTCATTACTGGAAGCAGTAGATAATTCTTCTGCATTGTCTGAAAGTTCACAACCTGCAACAAATACATAGGAATCTGAACCGCTGCCACCACACTCACCTACTCCAGTACAAGATCTGCATCAACCCTTCTTACCTGTCCTGGATCTAAGTTAACTTCAGGTATTACTTCCTCTTTATGAGACTGATTGTGATCAAATTTCTAATTCTACAACTAATGATGCTTCAAGAACACACTCTATGAATACCAGACTGCAAACTGGAACAATTCAAAGGAAAGATTACACTTCATTTCATGCAAATTTACCTGAGTTACAATCCCTAAAGATTGATGATGGTTCTGGATGCTATGATGGGTTTTCATTTCTAGCTGAAACTGTTGACTATGATGAACCAAAGAATTTTAAAGTGGTTGCAAGTAATCCAAATTGGCAGCAAGCTATGCAGGATAAGTTTGATGCTCTTAAAGGGCAAGGGACATGGACACTTATACCTCCACCTCATGACAGAACAATCATTGGGAGTAAGTGGGTTTACAAATTGAAGAAAAATCCAGATGGCAACATATCTAGATATAAGGCACAATTGGTTGCACAAGGGTATACACAAGAACATGGGTTAGATTACTCTGAGACATTTAGTCTTGTAGTAAGGCATACTATAATGAGGTTAATTCTTGCTCTAGCTACAAGCCATAAGTGGGAGCTTAGACAGTTAGACATCAAGAATGCATTTTTACATGCAGAATTGCAGGAGGAAATCTACATAAAGCAACCATAAAGCTTTGTCTATCCCAAGACTCCAAATTATGTATGCAAGCTTGTAAAATCCTTGTATGGACTCAAGCAAGCTCTATGAGCTTGGAATTCAAAATTCACATGTGTGTTACCATTTTTGGGGTTCACAGTTTCACAAGCTGACATAAGTCTCTTTGTTAAAACAGATGGCAAGGATATAGTCATTCTACTTTTATATGTAGATGATATCATCCTCATAGGTTCAAACATCTCCAAAGTGCAAGCTGTGATTACTGAACTTAGTACAATTTTTGATTTAAAAGACATGGGAAAGTTGACTTACTCTTGGGGTTGCAAATTCAATACAGAGACAATTGTGATATGTTCATTAGTCAAGCTAAATATGCAAAAGAACTTATTAAAAAGGCAGAAATGGAAAGTTGTAAGCCAACACCAACACCTTCAAAGCCACATACACAGTTGTTAATGTCTGATGGTCAACCTTTAGCTGATCCAAGCTTCTACAGAGCCATTGTCAGTGCATTTCAGTATTTGACATTCACTAGACCTGATATTGCCTATTCTGTGAATGTTGTATGTCAATATATGACCAATCCAACTGATGCACACATGATCTTGGTTAAAAGGATACTCAGATACCTTCTAGGGACCAAACAATGTGGCATTACATATTTTTCAGCTTTTCATACACAGATTTCAGCATACTCTGATGCTGATTAGGTTGCAGATATTAATACAAGAAAATCAATCACTGGATATGTTGTATATCTTGGTCTTAATCCTATATCGTGGCAATCTAAGAAGTAGTCATCAGTGTCCAGGAGCTCCACAGAAGCTGAATATAAAGCTTTAGCAAACTGTGCTGCAGATGCGTGTTAGATAAGATTAATAATCAAAGATTTGCATGAATTCTTAATTGCTCCTCCAACTTTACATTGTGACAATCTCTCGGCATTAGCACTCAGTACCAATCTAGTCTTTATTTCAAGGATAAAACACCTTGATGCAGATTATCATTTCGTACGTGAGAGGGTGCAAAAGAAGGATATCAGTGTTCACTATGTATCCATAGACAACCAGGTTGCTGATGTGCTCACTAAGGGTTTGCATAGTCCTACATTTGTCAAGCATTGTATCAATCTTAGCCTTAGACATCCCAGCTGAGATTGAGAGGGGGGGTAATAGCTGAAATGTAATAAGATTACATGTGGCATTTGTTAATTGATTACAAGTGGCATTTGTTGGTTGGTTAAGGAGAGATGTAGATGATTTCCATATAGACAAGTTAGTTAGAATTGTTAGGATATAACTATAGTAATATGTTGTAACCGATGCATTCAATACGATTTACTCTTCTTCTTCCTTCGCTGTTCAATTCTCTCTTTCTCTCTCTCCAGATTTCTTACTTGCTTGCTTTCTTAGATTTTCATTTCAAAGATTTCTTCATTCTATTTAGTTCTATTAAGAAGTAGTAGTGCTGAAATAGCTGAGTCATGGACATAAGACTAGTCAAGGATTTGGCTTTGATGTGGCCAAGTTTTAGTCGAAGTAGGATTGTTCGAGGATCAATGGTTTACAGTAAATTGGGATTAATTGTTTAAGAATCAAAATTCGTTTTTGGATAGAGTATGAATTGATCGTATATTGAGACCAGATTCAGAGTCATGATTCATGTGGAAGTGGCGGAGACATTATGGTTATTGAGCATTAGTCAAGGATAATTCCAAGTATAATAAGGATATGTCGAGAAGTTGCAATGTTATCAAGGCTCTGCTACTCAGCAGATTTGACCATCACAAAATTGACTCCTATAAATATAAGTGATCTTACAACTTAGAGACGACCTTCTACTCAACACATAAGCAAATTTTCTTTGCGGAATCCTCTCATACCCTTGCGATAAATACTAACTTCTTCACTAACCCCTCCGTTAGCCAATATTATGTTTGGTTAAAATTAATGCGCAACAAGCTGTCGCTATATTTAGTTTGGTTAAACATCACTGGAGTTGTAGAATCAATCGGTCTAGGAGTACTTCATGTTTGGTTAAACAACACTAGTATTTTGGTTATTTATCCAAGTCTCTGCCAATGAGGATTTTTGAATCTCTCGCTAAACAAGGTCACTTTATTAAGCTTTTTCGAGAAAGCGAAGTGTTACCAAGTTACTTAGTGTTCAGCACATTAAAAGGCAAACCATTATTGAACTTCACACCAAATAGCATAACCTTGTCTTCAAGTTAGCAGAACTCGAATGCAAAAGTGTTCCTTCCGTGGCCGAAGCTGTTGAGTGTAGAAGTCAGTAACACGTTTCATCAACACACCACCACATCCATATCATTCATTCGACCAAGCTTGGTAGCGACTTGACATGTCTATACCAGTAATCAATTATAAAAGAACATAGTTGGTATTTAGTTATTCGATTGCACGACACATAGGCTTTGTAGTTTATAAAGTTAAACAGTAGCGCAAGTTCGAATCGGATATACTTCATCTCATCTTACCACTAATACGCATATATATATGTTTTGGAGTGATACGTGGCCTTGCATGGATATAGCAATATACATCATACGTGTGAATTTTCGTATCTCTTTCTTTGGTACAAAGAAAGGAACAGATGGTGACGTGTTCCCAACCATCTTCTACACTCCACAAGTGTAATCTCCATCAGCAAGGGCCTTTATTATATACCACCATAAACTTGCACTACAGCAATTTCAGTAATTACATCGTCTGTATATATTCTTTTGGCCTTCGACAAGCTAATAATAGAATAATAATTTTCTTATCCAGTAGTTCCTCTCCCACCTAAAAAAAGCCTCAATTTTTTTTTTTTTTTTGTAGAGTGATCCTCTCATACCATTTGCCCGTGGGTCAGCGTCTCCTCTAGCTAGTCTGAAAATTTGACATAACACCTCACTTCACACTCTCCACTTCTACTATATAACCACCACTCGCCCGCCATTTCTCTCCTCCCACACACCTACTTACTCTCTCTCTCTCTCTCTCTCTCTGATTTTTCAGTTATGCATGCCTTGCACTTCACCACCACTACATCACCACCCTCTCCCGCCCTTCTCCAAAATGCCACCCAAACTTACACAGCCACAACAAAAATCACATGCAAAATCCTCATCAACCCATCCAAAAAAACTCTAACCCATAAAACCCAAAAACCACCAAGGCAACCCTTGCCACCCCCAAACACTAAACCATTACCGCAAGTGAACCCAGCAAAACCAAATATTAACCTACCTCGCCTAAACCCTTTTCAAAAATTAGCAGCCTCACTCCTAGACGCAGGAGAAACATCACTAATAGAGCCACTAGAAAAGAAGCATGCTTTGCCCAAAAACATCGACCCGGCTGTCCAAATATCCGGGAATTTTGCGCCGGTTCAAGAGTGTCCGGTTCATCACGGTCTCGAGGTTGTGGGACAAGTCCCTGATTGCTTACGTGGTGTTTATGTCCGAAACGGCGCGAACCCTATGATTCCACCGTCGGGCGGACACCACTTGTTTGATGGGGACGGTATGATTCATGCCCTCACTCTCGGCTCGTCAAATCGAGCCAGCTACAGCTGTAGGTACACACGCACGAGCCGACTTGACCAAGAAGCCATGCTAGGCAGGTCCATTTTTCCCAAGCCGATTGGGGAGCTTCATGGTCACTCGGGTTTGGCTCGGCTTGGTTTGTTCATGGCTCGAGCAGCTATCGGCTTGGTAGACAGCTCACGTGGCACCGGCGTCGCTAATGCCGGCTTGGTTTATTTCAACGGACGATTATTAGCCATGTCGGAAGATGATCTCCCGTACAGTGTTAAGATCAAGGGCGACGGTGATCTGGAAACAATCGGAAGGTTCGATTTTAACGGTGGATTGGACCGACCCATGATTGCGCATCCTAAGGTGGACCCCCAAACGGGTGAGCTCCACGCGCTCAGTTACGACGTGGTGAAGAAGCCGCACCTCAAGTACTTCAGGTTTAGCACGTGCGGGAAAAAATCACGTGACGTGGACATCACGCTAGACCAACCTACCATGGTGCATGACTTTGCGATAACCCAAAATTATGTGGTGATTCCGGATCAGCAAGTGGTATTTAAGTTATCCAAAATGATTAAGGGCGGTTGGCCCGTGATCTACGACCGGAGCAAGACGTCTCGGTTTGGAATTTTACCAAAAGGGGACGTGGACGAATCGAGCATCTGCTGGATTGACGTGCCAGATTGTTTTTGCTTCCATTTGTGCAATTCATGGGAAGAGATTTCGGACGCAGGTGACCCGACTGTTGTTGTCATTGGGTCATGCATGGACCCACCGGATTCAATATTCAACGAGCAAGGGAATAACCCAATTCGTGCTGAGTTGACAGAGATCCGGATGAACTTGAGGACTCGTGAGTCAACCCGGCGGGTTCTCGTCCCGAGTTTGAATTTGGAAGTAGGACAGGTGAACAAACAAGTGGTAGGACAAAAGAGCAAGCATGTGTATATGGCTATAGCTGAGCCGTGGCCCAAGTGTTCGGGTATTGCTAAGGTGGATTCGGAAACCGGTTCGGTGAGTAAGTATATGTATGGGTCCGGTCGGTTTGGCGGAGAACCGCTGTACGTGCCCCGACAGAGAAATGGTGGCATGGCACACCACGGTGAAGACGATGACGAAGGGTTTATAATGGGGTTTGTGAGGGATGAAGTTGAGGAGAGTTCGGAGTTGGTGATATTGGAAGCTTCAAGCATGAAACAAGTAGCGTTGGTGAGATTGCCTGCTAGGGTTCCGTATGGATTCCATGGTACATTTGTTAGTGAACAAGATTTGAAGCTGCAAGCTTAAATTAAAGCTATTTTTGTATATACTCGTTTGCCTATATATATATTTATGCTAATTTTTTAATCGACGAGACCTTATGTATTAATGAACCCTATTTCTATTAGAGAGATAATACAAATATGTGATAAGTAATACTACACTATTGAAGTATTTCAGTATGGTTTTTTCTTAGCACGAGCCTGTTTCTTTTTGTCATTTTTTAATTGTTTTTTGGTTTATTCGATCAAGTGTTTAAAATTAAACAAAAGGATAATTTAGAAAGTGTGTTTTCAACCATAGTTGGGGGATTTTGATATAAACATTTCAGTAAATTAATAATACTGAAAATTTGTTGTTTTTAGAAATTTGATTAAATTTTTTATTATAACTTTGGACCCACATGTCTCATAATATTTTTTTCTAAAAGTCTTTATGTTAAAGAAAATAAGATCAATTATCTCTACTAATCAATAAAACACTCATTGTCAACCAAAACGTTATGAAATTACCAGTTTAATCCTCTAATAAAACAAAACATGAATAAGAAATATGGGGCAAAAATGTAATTTCACACAACCAAATTTTGTGTTTTTTTTTTCAAAACCTCACCTACATGTAAATTGTAATCCTAATATATCTCTAATTATAAATAAATAAATAAATAAAACTTTTCACTCCCACATTCTCTATCACTCTCTTCCTCTCTCCTATTTCAGAAACAAAAATAAAAAAAATTTCTCACACACTTTGTATGTGCCCATATGCTAGTTTACTTAAAGATAACTAACCTTCCTACATCTAGCCTTCTCTGTTTCCAGTAACAAAATAACCGGGATAATTAAAAGATTTTCTCTATAGATTTTTCTTTACCATATAGAGAAATTTATATTAATACGTTATAAGAAAAAAATGTAACAAAAATACAAATGTACCATTTATAGACAAGTATAAATAAACGAGTATAAATGTATTACTATAATCACCATAAAAATGTGTATAAAACGGAATGTACCAAAAGTGGGAATAGCCGTACCAATCAACCACTGTATATAAAATCAAACGTTCCAAAGGTGGAATTAAACGTATCAATCAACACTGTGTATAATATCAAACATTTCAATCAATTTATTACAAAAATTATTATGCAATAAGAATATTAGATTGTCAAAACGTACCAATACGACTTAATTAAATTGACAATATTAACCAACCGTACAAGTTGGAAAAAAAAAAGAAGAAAGAGAAGTCTGTGTGTTATGTATATGAAAAACTTACCTCCTATAGAGAGTTGAATCCTTAAATTGAGAAGGGATGAGATTCTACAAATATAGCAACTAATTAAAATTATTCAAAGAATTTTGACATAAAAACTAATTTAATATGGATATAAAAAGCATTTAAATAAAGAATATACGTGAACATTGAGTTTGATCAAAAGTAAAGCACTTTCATATAAAATTGAGAATCAACAAATGTTTAATCTAAACAAGTTTAAGATAAAGGCATGTGATTCTAATTAAACCTTGACGAATGCTAGTTACCTTCCCCACATACCTTCCCATATTTGTCTTTCGCACTCAATGAATGCTATGTGGACTTGTCATGCACCTAAATTTATGCATTAATTTTTCTTCAAGTAAAAAATAATTAATTTAAAGAGAAGCCTCGCAAGCACTTGAGATCTCTAGAGTCATACAAAAAGCATTCCTAGCTGAGGAATACAACCATCCAAAATATACATATTATTGCAGTTGGGCCCAATAGAGGTTATGGCGTCAGTAGTAAATATTGCTCCTAGTAGTCGTAGACATGGTTCCACTCTACCGGGTTAAAAGAGGAAGTCAGCCATTTTATGTCCGCCACAATAATTTTAGTTCACCAGTCTGTTGTCCACAATGACGTTGCTAAGTCAACGTTGTTTGGCTAAATTCAATGCATCAGGAAGAGCTATTGCTTCCGCAGTGGTAATGTTACTAGGTCCACAACAGAAGGCTGACCATGATGATTTCAATGATGAATCCCGCAACAGCAGAATTCCTCGTCACCGATCCATCAAAGTTGAATTAAAAAATTCCTTCTGCAGGTGCCTTCCACTTGATGGGGTTTGTTGTTTGTTTTGGTTTGCTATTTGTTTTCTTTAGGTTTGTATTCTGGAAGTCCTTTCCCACCATGACAACCACCATAAGACAACAGACTGGATGAGGCTTAATCTATCTAAAAACATAATAATTTCTATCATTCCACATGTGCCAGCAAAGAATAAAGATTACTAATGTCAGAGAGGTCATCTTTATCCCTAGCAGAGAGACTGTTTAACCAATCACTAATGTTTGTCACTAAGGTTGGAGGAGCAATGTTATTAAACAGTTTCCAGACTCCTGAGTATGATTACATTTGACAAAACGATGTAACTGGTCCTCATCACCATTCTACATAAACGACAAACAGTTTGACTATTGCGATTGTGTTTACCTAATCTTTTATTTGTAGAACGTCTGAATCTTATAAGTAACCAAGCAAAAAAAATTAACTTTGAGGCATATTAAGTTTCCAAATTTGTTAAGTTATAAGAAGTATTGCAATGCTCGTTAATTTGAATCCAAGTAGATGATTTGACAGAGAATTTCCCATGTGGAGAAGGTCCCCAAATGAATTCATCCTCCTTATCCTGTAAAGGAATATGAATGGCAAAAAATTTATATGCAATATTATTAGGCACCAGTTGACAGATTAAATCCTAAATCCACATTTTATCTACAGTTACATCACACACTCTAAGATCAACTCCAATGGTGGGCTAAAAGCCAAATTTCCCCATTTATTCCCCCCCCCAATCACCACCCAACCACCACCCAACCCATGCTAAAACATTGGGCTAAAAGCCAAATGCCAAAGCTGGGCCAAATTCCCCCCCCCCCAATGCGAGTGGACTCGCTAGCAATTGGGCCAGTCTCGGCCCACCCACACTCCAACGAGCCCCACGCAGTGGGCTTGCAAAGCCTTCCCGACAAGGGTGGGCCCCGCTGTCAGCCGTGTGCCGGCCACCCAAAGAATCCCAATGGCTATAATTTTAATCCAAGGGCTAGGCTTTAAGGACTGTTGGTTGATCCAACGGTCCAGATTCAAATTTAATTTTTTTAGAATATGTTATTTTAAAATACATTGAATCCAACAGTTGAGATCGAATATAATCAAATCTAACGGTAAAAAAAAAAAGATCTAACAGCCCAAATTTAAATCCAACGGCTAAAATAATTTAAAAAAAAATTATTTAACTCAAAATTCACCCAAAAACTCTATAAATACTCATGTATTTGTTCAAACATCTACACAAAACTCAATTTTCTCTTATAATTCTTCCAATTTATCTTTCTACCATTTCTTTCCATTTCCAAATTGTTCAACATGGCAAGAGAGCATATTAGATGTCGTAATCGGACCTATGACGAAGATGTTGCTTTATGCTTGGCATGGATTTTTGTTGGCGAAGATGGTGCAGTTGGAACAATTTTTGTGGGATAAAATCATTACAAAGTTTCAAGAAAACTGCAATGGTGGCGGGAAGGATGGTGGTGGTGTTTATGATCGGTGAAAGACTATCAACAAAGTATGCATTTTATGGAAGGGAAGCTTGGAGAGAGCCGTGGTTCCATGGCTAGTGGAAGGAGCGTCACAGAAATTGTGAGTTTTGTTCTTGATATTTTATTTGTCATGTACATAATATTATTTTGCAACTAATTATTTTTTTGTATTTTTGCATAGGGTGACAAAGCAATGGAAATTTACAAGACAAGAGTAACACCAAAAAATCAAGTTTTTAAGTTGCAACATGCTTGGGACGTCCTCAAGGATTATCCGAGGTGGGGAACCAATGCGAACCAACAATGGAGAAGATTATTTCAACGTGAAGCCGTACAGACAAATGCCGGAGATGAAGGTGTCGATGAAATGACCCCATCTCCTTCTTTTGCAAGGCCCCCAGGAAGAGATAAGCAAAAGGAAGCAAAGAGAAAAGGGAAGTCCCAAGATCTGATGAGTGGACACTTTGCTACCAGAATTGCAAAATTGAACGAAACCCATAGTGTTCGCGAAGAAGAAACGGCCCGAATGCGTTTGCAAATGAAGGAAATCTCGGATAGGGAGCAAGATAGGTTTGAAATTAATTTGATGATGAAGGACCTCAGCAAATACACTCCAGAGATGAAGAAGTTCTTACGTGGTAAGCAAAAGGAAATTTTGCGAAAGTCTGCCTCAAGGAGTATGTTTCAAGATGATGAATCCTCTGAACCCTATATCCCAAGTTCAGTATGAAGTCCATCACCAAGTGAAGATGGTGGATATGATTATTAAGTTTATGTAGTGTATGAATTATGTTCTTTATTAATTAAGTTTATTAATTGTCGTTTGTATTAAGTTTATGTAGTTTATTAATTATGTGGTTTATGAATTATCGGTTGTATTAAGTTTATGTGGTTTATTAAGTATTTTTTGCATAAGTTGAAGGCTTGATTTGTGAAAAATTTAGTGATTTTTCAATATTTATAAGAATTTAAATATTTTTATATTAAAATGTTCATAAAATTAATTTACGATAGTCTACATATTTATTTTTTATTTTTTAAATTAATTTAAGAAAAAAATAGCTAAGTTCATTATTTAATAATCTCGAGCTAAAATTTTAGGCCAGAAGGGTTGGAGCAGAAAAGCTGTTTCTGGGCTAAAAGCTAAATTGTCCGGGCTAAAAAATTTGGCTTTTAGCCCAATGGTTGGAGATGGTCTAAGGTTGAGATTAAAAAAATCTCTTAGTTGATCTTGAATAAGATTGGCCAGTGAGAGAAAAAACACAATTATAGGACCAAAACAAAATGTTATGACCACTTCTCACTATTCATCTCATTCATCTTACCAACAACTTGTGCCTCTTTAGGACCATCCTCTTTCAGTCCAGCATTTAAATTTCCTACAACCTCCATCAACATTACATATTGTTTATCATACATGCAAGTCTCGTTACCAATATTTGTTAGCCAACTCCTAAAAGGAAGGTCCAAAATAAGATTCGCAATCCAAGAATCTACTCTGGACCACTCCTCAATCTCTTTAAAGTTAAAAGTCTTATTATT